CCTTTACCTTACAGAGATGAGCACTGTGCCAATGCCTCTAAATGTTGTGGCCACCGATGCCCAATATTTTATTATTATTGATCATATTGTCTTGGGGTTTCCAAATTGTCTCTATTTATTTACTTATTCTACAAGGACAATCAATATACATTATACACTGTTACTTTGGTGGATCTTTTAAATTTTAGTAATTTAGGCACCTAAATTGTTGTACCTTTTCGCTATTCTGGCAATAAAGATATCATATTTTATTAATATTATTGATCAAATTGTCTTGCTCCTTATTTATTGTTTTCAATGTTAGATGTATTGGCCTTTGGATCAAGGCATGGTCGCAAAGAAAAAAGCAAATTCAGTTGTTATTACCAAGCTTTTGACCTATTTTAACATCATCATAAGGGCAAAACAATCTTAAATATATTTAGGCTGTAACAGAATTGCCCCTATTTATTTACATCCTGTTTCTTCTTCTCCATCATGTTCACTATACATTATACAATACAATTTTTGTATATTTCTACTATGCTGGCAATAAGAATATACGGTTTTACTATTATTTAAGTAAGACTTTGCTCATAATTGGAATTACTTTGAGTATTTCTTTGTCTTTTTGGCTAATGCATCATGGTTGCAGTACTTTATCATATTTAATGCATATTGTTCATCCTTGTTCAATTAATTAATTAATTTTTTGGACAATCTAAAATTAAGCAAAACATTTATAAATTCAATTTTTACTTACTTTCAGTAAATTGCTTTCATATTATATCAATGCATACATAATTGTAAAAGGATAGCAGGAAAATTTAAGTAAACTCAAGGAAATGTTTAATTTTTAGAAAAAATAATCAGGAAATAAGGTTCAGGACAAAAAAAAAAAAAAATAAATAAATATATTGATTCTGTAATGTATTGCATGCTTTATTTATATTTAAATTTATAAAACACAATAAAATTGCATTCTATACATAATTTATATTAAGCAGAAAAAATTGAAAGTCAACAAATATTTATTGAATAAAACTAAACAGTATTTTTATTATAAAAATAAATACTATGATTATACAATAAGAATAAATAGCAATTTCTAATTCTAAAGTTATAAAATGTCTGCATATAAGTTATAAATAAAAATGAAGAATCATACATTATATCTGAATTTAAAAATACAGAATTTTTTTTCTTTTCTTTTAGTCGGGCGTAATGATAAGGTAGTGAACTTACAATTCTAAAACAATCTGTTATTTCTTCAATTCTGTTGCCTTACTTTTAACAGCGTTACTTTTATATACACAAAAATTTACAATGAATGACTTGTTTCCTAAGAGGTAGTACTTTAATATACATCGTCATTAAATTAACCTATTTAAAAATAATACATAATCATTTCCCTTAAGAACAAGTTTTACAGGCCAAAAAGTAAAAACGCCCCCAAGGAAAAGTGAAAGACATGTCGGTGTAAGAGTCAAAAAATCTTTTCCTTATGGCCCCACCCTCCAGAGATTTCGTAGAGGTCAAAAATGTTATCACAATTAAAAAATACACTTTTTTTTAAAAAGAACTTCAAATACTGTAAAAAACTTTATAAGTTTCTTTTTATATTGAAATAATGTGAACAGAAATTTAAACAAAAAATAACAAAACTATCGAAAACTTTTCAAAATCGCTTCAACATTAAGGGGAACCATAAAAATAAATAGAATTAAAATAAAAAATAAAATACGTAATAAAAAATATACATAATTAGGTAAATGTACAGCACAGAAAAATTGAAAGAAAGCGCTCTCACAGCAAATGTCAAATTTTATTTAAATTCTGCCAATAAGCAAATTGAAAAAATATTTAAAAATAAACCATGCGATAATTAAAAAAAAAAGTCAAAATAGCTAATCCGATTTTTTTTAAAATTTATTGTAATTAGCAACAATGGGCATTTTTTTCTGATTTTGGATTGAGCCAAACACAAATCACTTTGTAAATTGAGCCAAAAACAACGACAACAATAATCAGACTGTATCAAAACTATTTGACACACTTGAGATCAAAAACAAATTTTCATAAAGAGGAGCTCGTAAAATAAAAACAAAAACGTTTTCATTTGTTCCGCCTGGAAATTACAAAGCGGGAAGCCTTCTACTTTACAATGTTGCACTTTTTAATTGTATATTGTACTATTTTTAAATGTTAGGCTAATGTATACAAGCACAATTAATCGTGAAAATTCAAATTTGCGAGAAAAAAAATGCAGTACTACAACCTTAGAAACTGTTACAAATCAGCAGAATGGCAATGCGTATAAAATGAATTTGAACACAGCAGCTGTGTATGGAAAAGCAAGCAGACATTGATAGTTGTAAAACTGAATTTGACTTTCAAAAAAAAAAAAAAAAAAAAAATTTCACTACCTTGTTTGTTCACAAGATATCTAACATGAATAAAAACAAAATATGTAATCTTTTAAAAATAAATTGGGGGGAAACTATAACAATTTAAGCTGATAATTAATTAATACAATGGGATACAAATTTAACTTAACAAGTACAAATAACTTTTTAAACATTTAAAACTTTTTTTTTCTTTAATGATAATAGAAAACAAACTTTAATGAAGAAAAAAACTCAATTATACAACAAAATGCAAATTGTATCAATTATGATGTATGAAAAATATTTCCATTATATGTAAATATTGGTTTATTGCACTTTACCCAAGCTGTTTTGGGGAAATTTTCACTACACTGGAGAATAAAGTTCAAAAACAATAATCCAACAAATCTGAAAGCTTTCAAAAATGGTTAACAATTTAAAAATAATACCTTTTTATAGTCTATGAGATAAATACTTAAATATTAATGTACGATTATCATATAAATATTCAAATATATAATTTTATAATAACAATGATAATAATTATTACGTTTTTCTCACAACTATTCTTGACACATATATTTCTTTTTTTTTTATAATGATGATTATTATGCCATAGATAAAGGTAAACTTTACACCATTCATAGATTTTAAGTGCAAACAAAGCTAACAATCTACTGACCAACCATTCCTATCTTACCTTAACATCGTGTACAGAGTACATTGAAAAACTTTCTTTTTGTAAATCACAAACAATTAATTAAGCACACATCTTTAAGCCCTACATTGAATCTGAAAAGAAATATCTTCAATATTAACCTATTTTATATTACTTTCCTTTAAAGTAATTTATCAAGTATTTTTTTCCTTTGTCAAATAATATACTCTTTCTTTTGGTTGAATATATATTTTGCCTTTATACCAAAGAATATATTGTATACACACATTTTTTTAAATATTTCTTGACGTCATTCTTGTTTTTATGTTTTTTTTTTCTTTTCCTCTCCTAACTTTTTCTTCATGTCAAATCCATGTATAATCATCGCTAAAGCGCAGCAGGGCATTTTGTGCCTATGCCCGCCTCGCTTAACAATTTACCTTTATTATTATTCCCCTCTCAATAATATGTATATGATATTGTCTCTTAATAGCTCTTAAAATTTTAGTAATAATATTTAATAATTTCTTTAAACATTTGTTCAATAAAAATATACAATATAAAAACATAGCACAACAAATTTATTAAAATATTTACAGATCACTAAAAAAAATATATATAGATATATTTTTTCACATCTTTTAATATATATATTTGTTATATAAAGCAAAGGATTGCAAATTTCACACAATTAAAGCTAATAAATAGGTAGATAAAAAAATCAACTAAATTTTTCTTGTGTTTGTACCTAAAAAAATGACGTTCATGTTTTGTATTGAATTTTTTTTTTAACCTAAGGCTAAATTTTCAGATTTTAATATAAACAAATTAAACATTAACATTGTGGGATGAGGCATCTTGTACCTTGTAATTCGTTTTTAAAAAAAATTGTAAATTTTATATTGAAATCAGAAAATTTATATCTTTTCAAATTTTATTTACTTACTACATAAATCAAAATTGTAATCAGTCGTAAAATTTATTGTACAAGGCACACGAGGCTCCCCCACCTAACACTACAAAAAAACTTAAGTTGAACACAAAATAACAACAGTTTTAGTTAAAGATACAATCACCTAATCCACTTTTTTGTGTGTTGATGAGTATTAAAATGACAGTGATTTCTATCAGCAAAATAAAAATGTACATCTTTTTCAGTCATAGCCTGGAGTTAGGCCTATGAAACGGCAAAACAATATTTTCTTTCTTTCTACCTTTGATTTTTGAGATCATAAATTGGCAAATTTCGTATTTCAAATCTTTTAATTTTATGGATAACACAGTATAGTCCTCTTTTTAAATAAATGTTTCTTGTGCTGTACAATGGAATATCAATGAGGAAAAAATCATTTGCCAATCGGCGTATAAAAGCTTATATTTCAAGATCACAGTTCTCGCCAATATTCAGTCAAAGGATGACTGCTAATGAACCGTTGACTTTTTGACGGTACACTTGAAATTAAAAGAAAACAAAAGTTTACAATAATAAATAAAAACCTAATTCACAAAGTAAACTATTGCTGTTTTGAGCAAATTTAAAATTCCTCTTCTGTCAAAAAGTGACCTCTAATCAAATCTGAATATAATTTTTGTTTTGCAAAATAGAAATTGAAGTATGATATGCACTATATTAAATTATTTTACAAACAAACCACAAATTTAGTGAATGCCATTTTTAATTTATTTGTATTCGAATGACAAAATATTGGAGCAGCTTTTAAATTAAAGAAATTTTTGACACTTTTATTTGTATTTTTGAGTAAATACAAAAAAACGAAATAATAAATGAACGAATGATATAGTTAAAATGACAAAAGAAGAGAGCATAAAAATAGAAAGTCTTTTAAATTATAATACGGTAACTATTTTCATTCTTACATTCGATCGTAATGAACTTTAAAGACAATATGAATGAACAAAATTTTCGATTTTAAGGTAACTGGTTGGCTTTAGGAGTAATGAAAACAACACATTTATTCAATGATCTAGCCAATTTTTATGTCAATTCCGTCAGTCTGTGCTGGACGGAGAGAGGGTTCGATTAATTTTCTTCAGTATCTTTTTTTTCCTTATATATATAATATAATGTTCTGTGCTCTTCTTTTCTCCTCGTTCTTCGTCTTTTCTAATCTCCAAATCTTGAGCAAGCCTTCTTCCACTTACATTGAGTGCACCAGAGTTCACGATGTTCCATGCCGTACACTTTGCGGCACTTTTTCGTGTCGCCCCTTATTCGCCTGCTGGGGCTACCGGGCACTTTGTTCAGCGGAGCAGACATCGAAAGTTTGATCTGCTTCTGATTCTAAATGGGAAATATAATTATAAAATATCGACTCATAATGTTCTTAAAATGCATTTTACAAAAAACAAATTAATAAACTCTGATTGAACTAAATAACGAGTTTCAGAAATCAAACAGAAAATTATCAATTTTGTATAATGATTACTGAACCATACTTGTAAGCATAAAAGCATATAATTTTCTCTGAAAAATACATAATCAATTACAGATTTGTGACTTTATTTACTTAAAAAAAATCAATTTGATAATAAAGAAGTCATATAGAAATAATTTTAATATCAAAGTTTCATGTCTGACTTAAGATAAATAAATTTGTTTACATGTTTTTGGTTTTGTTTTTTGTTTTTTATTTTTAACCAGAAACAGATGTTTGATTCAATTGGCATTGAATGAAAATGGGACAACCCAGCAATACCGAAACCAAAAATCATTTAATAAGTCAATTTTGTTAAATTCCCTTCTCAAATAATTAATAATCCTAAATGTTAAAAAAATAAGATAATTAAATTCTCTTTCTAATCTTGTAAACTTTTTCATATGTTTCACTTACAACTCAGTACGAATGATTATTAATCAACATAATAAAGAAATATAAAAATAATTTTAATAAATGCTTAAAAAATGTTTATAGCTCTTACCGGTGAAACTGTAGCTGTGACTGGCCAGCTGAAGTTTGTCTTAGGAATTGAGATCGCGCCAGCAACAGAGTTTCCAACACTCATGGCCCTCTGATATTCTGGATCTGCGCGATATAAATCGAGTTTTATACAAATTAAACCAGTTTCAATTGGAAATTTACCTTCATGAGGTGGCCTCGCCATGTCTCGGTGTGACAGAGTCGGGGTAGGTGAGGTGAGTCCGATTTCCACCTCCGTATAGTAGAACTCTTCTTCGTGGTCATCGCCTTCCATGTCTTCATCGCCTTCTCTTTCGTTTCTTGGCCTAGTTTAAAATGCAATTTTATAGCCGGGTGTTAAAAATAAAAACGACACAACGAGGAAAGACTTACCCCAAATGGGTTTTTCTGACATGCGTCTCGATTGAGTTGCAAGTTTCTCTCATTACGTGACAACCTGGCCACGAACACTGATAAACAGTTCTAGTTGCCTAAAACAAAAAAATAACATATTACACAGCTGAAAAATTAAAAAAATTAAAATTATTAGAATATTTTATGATCATTATCTATTATCTTCTTTGTAATTATGTGTATTATTCAATTTTTTCTGTTTTTGTAACAATTAAAATTTTAGTTTTATTTGTTAATAAACTTAGCTACCTCAATGACAAAAATATATTATAATATATAAAATAGTCTCATATATAGAAGCCAATTCTTCCTAAGGCTTATATTTTATAAAAAGAACTAGCAAAGAAAAATTGAAATCTATTTGTTGCTTCTTTTTTACATTTATTGACAGTTTGATCAGATTTGTTAAAGAATATCATAGAATTTGTTGGTTTTGTCTGTGTCGTGTCTCCCTCGTTCATCCTTTTTGTACATTCTGGATTATGAAAGATTTTCTGATAGATACTCCGCTCACAATTATTTTATTACGAAGGAAAGCTTTTATCGGTTCTCATTGCTATTTAGCATTTGAAGTTTCTTCAATGTCTCAAATAACAAATAAAGACCGATCTGTCTAAAATTTCTCACTGCTAATTTGGTAGACAATTTTAGCGTTTGGAGCTTCATCAATGTCTCAAATAACAAATAAGGATCAATTTTCCCAAAATTATTCATAAACTGTCTAATACCAATAAACGTTTTACTTTTTTCATTTTATTTTTTTATTGCAGAGATAATTAAAAAGAAAAGGTCATTACTTTTTTTGGTTTTATTCTTTTTAAATCCTTTTGTACGTCTACCTGGACCCATGTGTCAACATTTGTTCTCTTGGCAGGAAGTCGACTTTGATTGATTAGTGGGCCGGAGGATTTTTCAACCAATAAGGACACAGGTGATATTTCTTTCTTGCCTTCGAGGGTGAAAACTTAACTGGTTAAGTCTTGGACTTGCTCGGAAAAGAGGATTATTAGAGAAATCAGTATCGTTAAAAAAGAAAATAGTTTTCAGAAAGAAAATCAAGATTTCCCGTTAAAAAGTATACTCCTTGATTTATTTCCGTTGTTTGTAGGAAAAATCGGCATATTTAGCTGTGTTCAAATTTTACATATTTGCAAATTTGTCCGTCTAAGGTTTTTCGTTTATAAATTGTTTTACAAAGGTATTAATCTTAAAGATTATAGCGAAAGTAGGCGGACCCCCAGACGTCAGGTGCAAAAACCGGTCTATTTTCCGATAACGACGATGACGGGGCGTTTCCTAGCAAAAAGAACGGAAAAAAAAGAAGAGGAAACCGTCATGCCTTCGCTGTTTGATGAAGCCCAACTTAAAGAACAAGAGCTAACTGTAATTCGTTAAAGTTTAAATAAACAATTTTACAAATCTACCAAAAACTAGTTCAAAATGACCAGGGCGATTCGACGTTTCATAAATCTATTCGCGGGCCAAATAAGTTGGGAGTGGAAAATTGATCATCTACTTTCATCATATGAGTCAAAAGAGCCATTCTATCTGGATTAAAATTAATTGGACCTAATTTCATTGTGCAACAAGTCAATTAACCCAAACGTTCCACCCTAAGAAGATAAGAGCGTCTTTATTGCAAATCCGCTGGCACGTTGTAAAATTATACAAACCCTAAGAAATTTAATTTATGGAATAAACCAGGGAAATATACACTGAAAGATCTAAGGGTTTTAATTTATTCAATTTATATTTTTTGAGCACCAGCCTGAAACATCAAGAGGAATAATAATAAAAAAGTAGTGAATTACTATTTAATTAGGACAATAAACGGAAGGCTATTGTGACCGCTTGATGATCATACCATTGAGCTGTAATAAAAAAGTTCAAAAGATTTACGACCCAATAAAAAAAATTCTACGAATAAAAGAAAAGCGAATGCGCCCTTGCGCATTATACTACAGATAGTTCCCTGCACCCGATTGATTTAATGCAGCTGGTATACAAGCGAACCTGTGGGTTTGGGCTGCAACTTGCACCGCTCCTTCTCGAAAAACAGGACCGCTAATCCTTCCATTTTTAAGGTTTTCTTCGTCCTTCCAGGCTAAAAAATCTCTAAATTGATTTAGCCAGGCAGATAAAAAAATTTGAAAAAAATACCATACACTTTGATAAACGAACAGTGAAGATTGTCGCACATGTACGAAGTACGCATAAGTAATTTTTTTCCACCATTGACCGTTGGATGTTTTGAATTTTAATCGTATTCATTGGATAAATGGAAGAAAAGTCTCGTTGTTAACTATTTATTTTCACGCTTTTCTAAGGTTGTTCTTGCTATAAAGGATAATTTTGGATGACCCCTTTCGCGAAACAAATTTTAGGCTTTTTATGATTTTATGGTTAAAATCGGATGAATAGAAGCTTAATCATTATCTTAGCATTTTCCCATGTTTTTCCGCAGGAAACATAATCTTGGGTCGACCAAAGCTGCTTTCAATAAAAGGGATTTTTTCTCAATTTTAGACTTTTACTTTTATTTAGAGGTTGGATGAAAGTAATATCTGGTTAATACCATAGACTAATCATTATTTTAGCGCTTTTCTATGATTATCCATACATAAAAAAAATTGGGTAGACTTAACCAGTTTTCAGAAAACATAGTTCCTCCATAACGACTTTTTCTTCTTCAAATTTTAGACTTTTTGGTAACTATTAAAGTTAAACTATGGTTCTTAGCATCTTAGGTCGACTAAAACTACTTCCAGTAAAAAAATTTCCTTCACAACGATTTTTTCTTCTTCAAATTTTAGGCTTTTTGGTAACTATTAAAGTTAAACTATGGTTCTTAGCTTCTTTGGCCGACTAAAACTACTTTCAGTAAAAAAAAGTTCCTCCACCACGATTTTTTCTTCTTCAAATTTTAGGCTTTTGATGTTGTTTTTATGGTTAGATCAAAGTAATATCTGATTAATGAGACAGCTTAATGATTTTTTTACAATTTTTCTGTTATACGACTGAAGTTGGTAACTGTTACTATGGTCTAAAGCTCTTTCTGCAACCAAAAGTTCCTCCACCGCGATTTTCTCCCAAATTTTGTTTTGAACGAATATTATGGTTGAATCAAATTAATATTTGGATAATATCATAGTTTAATCGTTATTTGATTTTTTTTATTATTCCTGGAGAAAATACAATTTTGGGTCGACGATAGCTGTATTTAAAAACGTTCCTTTGCCACGATTTTCATTCCAATTTTATATTTTGGAAAAATATGATTGCTGGACAATGTAATATCTGGTGAATAATATAGCTTAATCACTAGTTTAATGTTTTTATAATAATATTCTGTTGAAAGATATAATTTTGGATTTACTACAGCTGATTTTGGCAAAAAAGGTTCCTCTACTTTGACTATTTTTTTTACTCGATGTACTGAGTTTGTTGGATCAAATAAAAAATGTAAGGCTATTGACACAGCTTAATCATAATTTAATGTTTTTCAAAGGTTATTCCCCCGAAAACACAATTTCGCCAAATTTTTCTCAGGTCCTTTTTTTTCCGAGCACTTAACAACCTCAACTCGTTACACATTCAGCTGGTGATTTTTTTTTTCTTTAACTAGCGATTTACACTTAACAATACAAATTCGTATCCCTCAGATCGGATAATTTTCCATCCCATTGTCTAAGGTCGAAATTGGACGTTGTTTCATTGTAGATTGTCTTCAGAAGTGGGGTTTTTTTTTACCAGTAATGAGTTCCCTGAGAGGGTAATTTGACAGCCTTCGCACGGCTTCCGTTACCAATGAAAGATCTTTAAAAATTACAATTAAGCAAGAATCATTAAAAAAAAAAAAATACAAGTACAAATTTAACAGAGTCGGAATGGTAAGGAATGGTCAGAGGGGCGCTAAGCTCAAGCGCATTAAAGTTCCCCAGCTATCATGATGATCACTCCATGCACCATTTACAAAGCCGAAAAACGTTGGTGAACGTGAAACCACCAAATAAGATTGGTAAAACCAAATCAACAAAAAACATATTTCCACAAATATTTTTAAACTCAAAAACACGAAAAACCAAAAATTCAAAGTAAAATTTAGTAGTTCAAAAAACCTACAGGCTACAAGTCCTTCAAAGAAACTGTCTACTCTAGACCGAAATTTTTTTCCGTATTTATTTCAACAAAAAACATATTTCCACGAATATTTTTAAACACAAAAAACCAAATTATAAACTAATAATTCAACGTCAAATCTAGTTGTCCAAAAAACCTACAGGTCCTTCAAAGGAAGTATTCTAGGACGAAAATTTTTTTTCTGTATTTATTTCAACAAAATATATTTCCGCGAATATTTTTAAACACGAAAAACCAAATTATAAACTAATAATTCAACGTAAGATCTAGTTGTCCAAAAAACCTACACGTTCTTCAATGAAACTGTCTATTGAAAGTCGAAAAAAAAATTCCCCATTTGCTTCAACAAAAAACATATTTCCACTAATATTTTTAAACACGAAAAACCATATTATAAACTAATAATTCAACGTAAAATCTATTTGTCCAAAAATCCTATAGGTTCTTCAAAGAAACCGTCTATGCCTTTGTTATAGGCAAAAAAAAATTTTTCCCGTATTTACATAAGTATAAAAATGCTTATGAGACTTTATGTTAATACAACCCTCAGAAAGTTCGATAAGCTCAAGCGGAAAAGGTTCCACATAAGGTTGAACGTATAATAAACATATGTATATCTAGTTTCTTCGGTAAAAGTATGTTTAGGTGCCATCTTGGATAAATATAAGGTAAAAGGTGATTTTGGTAAGTTTCTTTTCCTATTTATCTAAGGGAGGAAGCTCGGAATTTCTTACAAGGTCGTTAAATAAGTTAGGTACAGAACTATTGTACAATGTATTTATTACATGGATATGCGTCGAATTTCAACTGTCAGTCGATTGTAAATGCGCATTTGTAAGAAAAGGAAAAAAAAAAGAGCTGCTTTGTAAAATAACAGGTAGATTTGGTTGGTGAGGTGCGGTTGGTCTTCAGCGAGGTTGCCGGGAGCATCCGGGCA